ATATATATATTACAGCTGCCTGACAGATATTTGCTTTCATTTTTCCCTAACTGACCATCTTTTATTGTCACAAGCAATATCACATCCCACACCACTTGTCAATCATTTGGGGGATGGCACCTGGCACTCCACCCCTAAGATGAGCAACAAAACAAGTCATGCACACAAAAGGGTAGCGCCTCCTCATGATGTTCTTTCATGATGATGATCCTTGCTCTGTGCAGGGGTCTATGCCTGCAAGACCCAGGGGCACCTGTTCTCCTGTGAATGGGTGTTCTGAACTTTAATTTCATTGTGCTTTGTACAATGACAATAAAGGTTTATAAAGGTTAAAGATTAAAAACAGTTTACAGTTTGTTTTTTAATGGCTCCATGGCTTTCTGGTGGCAAACACTCAGAATCCATTGAGACCAAAACTGAGTCAACATGTCTTTAAACGTGATTATTAATATTGTCTAATGAAGTAACTGTGATTTTGACTCCAGCAGTCCCAGCCTGGTGAGAAGCTCCCCTCTGGTCAGGCTTCTCAAAACCTCTATTCCTACAGTTGCTGGGACCAGGAAGCCCACTGTGTGCTGCGTCAGACCCACATCCTAGAGGACTGGGTGGACTGCAGAGGAGTGAGCACGGTGCCCTGCCTTAAAGTGACAGTCAACATGAGCGGGTCCACTCAGGGGTCCTTTCTTCACTATGATGAGGAGTCTGTCCTTCTGGCTAAAGAAGTAGGAACTTATAGCACTTTCATTATTTACCCTTTAACACTTGGTAATATTCTTGGTGGTCCTGGAGATCTAGATCTAAAATTGAAAAACTCCAGGTAATGTACTGCTGGGTCAGCCTGTTTAGTATACCTATTACTTTTTGCTAATGTGTTTTCTTATGGTCTTTGGACATGGACAGTGAGAAAAGAACCTCCTAAGTGTACAAAACCAGCTTATTTCTGCTCTTTTGTTATTAGGATAACAAAGAGTTTTAGTATGTGATTAATCTTGTACAATCAAAGAACTATTTTCAGCAGTTTTCTTAGCTTCTGCCAGCTAAACAAGCCGATAAAACATTTTACTTAAGTTTTTTCTTTTCCAGTGTTTTTACATCCCAAAATGCCAAATGGACAAGGATGACCTTCAAGACGAAGTGCAGGAAATAAAAAGAAGACTGGACCGTCACCTGGGGAGCAACAGCTCGTGCTTCATTGACCACAAGAACCACCCCAACCACGTCATTTGGCACAAGAAGTACACCTTGAGAAGGGCACTATTTGGACTGCTGTGGCCCTGTCTGATGCTGGGTGGTGGAGCTCTTCTGGTGGGTCTTGTGAAGATGACTCAGGGCTTGGCTCGTTTGTCCTCTGAGGTGTGCATTGAGTCAGCAGGGGGACGGCTAACTGCGAGATACACTCAGGGCAAACTGTATAAACTCCTGCGGAGATCAAGTATGCAATCCCCTTGAAGCTTTAATATGCCAAAAACAATGAAGTGGCATACACTCACTGATAAAAACAATTAAGTATGCAGAAGTAATGAACCAGTTTGGACATAATTTGGTACTAGCAACGAGTGTGTAAATGATTTGATGTGCAAAGAGCTGGCACATTTACTATGGATGGACAGCTGAGGGCGTAGTGGGTGGAGTGAAGCAATGGTTTATCGGGCAATTCCTGGACTATCTGGTAGTTAGATCTAAGACAACAAAACAAACAAGTGTAGCCAAGTGGTAAACTTTAGTATTTTTCACTTAGATGCAAACATACCCCTGAAAGAGTTTCAAGTGTATTAAAGTACTGTTTGTTCTTTTGTTTTTGTAACAAATATTGTATGCAAAGAATATTATTTGTACTATGTGTTGTTCTATTTACACTTTTGCACATTTATAGTCCTCAAAGAAATCTAATCAGATGTTTGGTGTACTTATAAGGTTTAGTCACAAGGAGGCAGTGCTATGCCAGTTATAACCAGGTTTTTCTAAGATTTTGCCCAAATGCATCTTGTTACTTCCTGTTTTGTTATTATCGTGTGGTCACAGCATAAATAATGCATGACCATGAGATAATTATGCTGTGGTCTCGAAATAATTTTTGCAGTCATTTCTATGCAGAGGTTGTTGATTGTTTACATGAATAAGTTCAAATTAATTTTATTTTATTTTTATATGACTGACATAATTCAGTAGCATTATATGTTGCAGCTTTAGGACACAGGTGACAGTTGGAGTGATATTTGTTTGAAATGCTTTGTTTAATTTTTTGAAGCTCAACACTCAAAGCAGGGTCCTCTTTCAAACGGTGCTTTGGCTGTGAAGGAGTCCGATTTTTTATGCAACATAACTCTCTTTCCCGACACACAACTAGTGAACTGTCATTTCATAAATAGCTTGTTATGAAAGATGGAGCAATTATATTAACTTACACCAAATAATAAGTGTGGGTAGGCTACCTTTAAAAAGTTAAAAACAAAAACAATGTGTTCAAAGCCTGACTCTAATAATGTCTGTATTGACCACAAACAGAATGTAATGCCTGTCAAAATTATCTCATAGCTATGCGTTATTTATCCCTTGACCATGAGATAATTTTTTTATTAAATGTTTCCTGACGGGCACCGTACCTATATTTTGTGTGGCCAACTAGGTTTTTTGGTGTTCAGCACAAAGCTCAGCTAATCTGTGATGTACAGCATAATGTGAAATCTAGGAAACTTTGTGGAATACAGAGCCCCCTCTTTTTGTATTTTGTTTTGTTCTTTCCTTTTGTCTATTATTAAAGGAGACATATCATGCTAAATGCACTTTTTTTCATTTATAAACTATTTTTGTGCAATTATAGTGTCTAGGAGTGTAGAAAACTTTAATTTATTTTGTCCAGTTATTGCAAAGATACATTTATATTTTTTATGGGTCAAATTTTTCAGTTTGTTCAAAATCTGCTGTTGCTTATTACGTTTCATTGTTTGTTTCGTCACACTTTTTTCTTCGGAACTACCATTTATGGTAATGTTTTTCCGGCCAACTGGATTTCATAGTCCGCCATTTTTTTCCTCGCTGTGTGATTTTGTAGTTTATAGCGTCATGCCGAATATGCAAGTTCAGATGTCAAAATGTTCGGTTCTGGGGTGTGTAAACCCACATTATTATCTACATGGACTACCAGGGTCAGAGCTTCTTCAAAGTGCCTGGTTAAGTTTTATTTTTCAAGGAAATGGACCCACAACAGGGTGGAAAGTGCTTGCGTACAACACAGGATGAATGTTACAAAAACAAGGGTGAGTTATGAACTGTAAATGTGTTTTAACTGTCTAATTTAGCGGTTTCCACCCTCTGTGTCGGAATATGAGGGGAGAAAGAACAGCTGTGTTTAAGTTTCTTTATCGAACGGGTGCTCAGCACCATGTTTTACTTTCACTTTCGCCCCGCACTGTAATCAGCGTGTCCGTAGCACCATGTTTTACTTTCACTTTCGCCCCGCACTGTAATCAGCGTGTCCGTGATGTGTTTCTTTTTAAAAATGCTGGAGCGTTTCAAACGGTGATCTAAAGTTAACGTCACAGCTGTTTTAAATGCATTTTTTTTGCCTGGTGTTAAAAACGGGAGCAGCAGAATGAGGCAGAGAAGCTGAGAAGAAATTAATCTTATTAATATACAAATGAAAACAGAATATTTAGCACTAGATAAAATAAGTAATGAATTTATTTTTTTTTTAAAAAGGACTGAAAGAAGAAATCCTGTGTGGCAGCATTTTATACAGCCTCTTCAGACAAGGCTTAGTTAATAAATGTTTTTTAGTTTGTTTTGTTTTAAATTAAGACTTGTGTAACATTTGTTATCATTCTTATTTTTATCATGTTAATGGAGGGAGGAAGAAAAAGTAGTATCGGCTTCAAGAATCGGCCAAAAAATATCGGCTGCAGTGTTGTTTTAGTCACTCTGTATTTATGTTTTTTTCGTTACTCAAAATACTGTGTTAGATGAGTTTTAATGGTGCAACTTCAAACTAACATGTAATATTCCTTTATGCTATTTTAACCAGACTGTATCTGGCTGCAATGCATTTCAATGAAAATGCACATCTGCAGGCAACTACCTCATCTGGAGAGCCCATGTAGATTATTCTTTCCCAAGTTCAAGAAGGGAGAAGGCACAGCAAAGCCTATCAGAACTCCTGAATTCCTAAGTAAGTCTTACCACATTAGTCACTTTTAGTATGCCAACTTGATTTCAATGAATCAAAATCATCCATACTTTAATTATATCTCCCTTATTCAAAGTCATGTCACAAGGGCATGTGATGTGTGAAAGTGTTGAATGAGAAACTTTTCCTCACAATGTTAAACAAAAATTACAAAAATAAGTGACACTTTACTGTTTCTACTATGCAAAGACTRTGTACATTTTAATGTTGTTGATGTTTTCCAGACTGCGCTGTGGATTCATCTCCAGTTGTCCTAGACAAGGCCAGCATCTCCACACCACCTCCCTCCCGATGCACGTGTCTTCACTACACGTCCTAATGCACGCGTCTTCACTACACGTCCTGATGCCACATTTTCACACCACCATCTGCACCACATCTGAACTCAGTCCACACCCAGTGGGAGGACCCTTCACAACAGGATCACACATACTTCCACAGATCTCACAGAAAGGACGTGCAGGACAAGATGACTCAGTGTGATGAGGTTGCATATTTGTGACCCATCATATCAAAATGAGGATTAAGTCGAATTTGGTCAAAATGACCTAATTACATTTTTAGATTCTTGGCTTTAAAAGCTACATTTTGATACCTGGATTTCTGATTTCATAATTAAATCCATATATACAGTATGACTTAATTTGTCTTGTTGGCTACAATAATACATAAATATTTGGTCTGAATCCTAATTTGATGTCATTTTAATGAGGATTTTTTGATGTCCTTTTAAAGAGGAAACCTCAAATTTTATTTGAATATTGAGATTTCCCAGCCAAAAAGAAACAACACTTTGCTAGCTCACAGGGAAAATCTTAAAAATTTAAGGCATTTTTCCTCAAAATCAGATTTTTTGTTGCTACTGTTCAAAATAGTGCTTCAAAATTTTGTTTTATGATTATATTTCAGACAGTTCATTCAACTGATACATTGATAAGGCTTTTACATTGATAAGGCTTTTATTCATTATATTTTGACAAAATGCATTTTTTTAACATTTTAGTCAAAACTCTATATTTGCCTATTTCTCCATATACCACTTTTGGACTTAATCCTCGTTTCGATGTGATGGGTCACATTTCATTCTACAAAAAAAAAATCAGGATTTTTTACTGTGTTCTGTGTACTTTTAAACTTCAATTTTTGTCATAAAAACATTTCACTGTAAGTTGAACTTTGTGTACGTGATAAATTTATTTGATTTGATTGCTCCCATTTTTATCTTCTGTTGCTAACATATTTTATGAATGCAATGCATTCCACATAGAGAAAAAGCTATTGAACATATATAATTTTGCATTTTAGGTAAAAATGATTTTTATCAAAACCATAAATGTAATTTGACACTTTTTATTGTTTACCAAGGAGTAATAAAGTACATAAATTCTTACATTCAATGTTGTCAGTACATCATCATGTCACCTTCCAATTAGTGTTTTCTGGAGAAGGAAAAGTGGCTGAATTTGTGCTTCGCTAACACCATCTCTGAAGTCTTAGTGTGAAAGCTGATGAGGTGTGTTTGGGAGTACTTCTGTCATTAAAGCCCTGGAGTTAGAGTTGAAATGATGCTCTGCCTTGTGGCGTTTGAAATTTATCTGGCTTAGACGTTTGGGTTCCAGGTTCTTTGCTGTCCCACAGACCTGTGACATACAATATTAGTTACAGTTCCAACGTAGAATGTGAATGATCATTTAATTATGATTTAAGCTCTGATTTGACACATGGAAATCAATAGGTTAATTGGTAATGAAAAGTCAAAACAATTACATTTTATTTGCTTTTTGTACATTTCAGTCAAGCACAAAAATCTATTTATTTAAAATAATTTCACATCTGTACAGTGAGTGTGAGTACATTGTAGTTGTTCAACTAAAAATACTTTATTGATCACAAAAGTAAATTATATAATATATTAGTAGTTCAAATGCATGTATTTTAGTTTAGCTATGCTCCCCAGTGTAGGTAAGGACATAGAGTGTGTAAATAAATAACGCACCATTGTGACACATTCGTTTGAAGACGTGGTTCTGCAGGTTTGTCATTCTGAGTGTCTTGCACTGGGTCAGACTCTGGCTCGTACATGTAAGGCTGGATTGACAAGTCTACTGTTGTTGACATCCTTATACTTGCCATCTGCCATCACTAATATGCACCTTCATATGTACATTCATTTTTGTACTGTACTTTACGGTGTATATATGTAAATACATAAGCATATGTGTTTATGTATATGTGTATATGTGCATTGGTACAATACTATATATCACGTGTATATTTTGGGGTTTTGCTTGTTATCTTTTATTAATCTTTCATTATTCTTCTCAGCCTCTCTTGTATTAAGCTGCAGTAAAGTGCAAATTTGCAGACTGTGGGATCAATAAAGTTTTATCTTATCTTATTTTATCTTAAAAACAGTTTTTAGTCAGTAGATAACTGTGTTTTTGCTATGAAACTACAAATATGGCCAAACGGGGTGGAGTCGAACGCTCAGCGACCTGGAGGGGGCGGGGTGTGAAATATCTTATTTGTATTCAAAGAGACTGCACCAAAACAGCTTGCTCTGAGGCGCAACTCAGAACAGGGGTAAAGCAAGGAAGGCAAGGAGTCCGTGGAGCAACAAAAACAAGGAATTAAGACCAAAGCTTTGCAGTTTTATTTAAAATAGACCATATGTGAATGATTTAGACGTGAAAAAGAAGGATTTAAAAGCATGATATGATACCTTTAATAATAAAAATCTGCTAAATTAAACCCCAATTATTATGTCATGGAGGCAACCAATTACCCCAGGCTACACAAGGATGTACAAAGATGGATGGACAGATACTGTACAGTAAATGGCTGTTTGATTAGCCTTCATGAAACAACATAATGTGTGAGCTAAAATATTTGTTCCATCCTTTAATTCATTCATCTATCTTCTGCTGCCTTTCTGAGACCAGGTCATGGGTGCAACAGCTAAAGCAGATTCTCAGACCACCATATACTGTACCTGCTCCAATCTCACTCCACTGTCCTTTTAGTGTAGTGGAAGGATCTCCACTCTAAGCTCTTTCTCAAATAACCAAACTTCTCAATACATCTTATCATGGAGGAGTAAGGGTCCCAAGGACCCCAGAATCGTTTGTGTCAGGTCCAGTTTTACCCCCATATAGGCTCTCACTGAGAAATTTGGTTCTGAGTGAAGGGGCCAAAGAGCAATTCAACAAACCTCATGACTACAAGATCAAGGAATCATGATACCTCGCCTGACAGGGAATAATGTCAATGGCCTGTTGGTCAAGCTTTTATCCTTAGGTCTGTGTGGGCACAGCCCAAACAAGTTACAACCCTCCCTTAGACAAACCATCTGCAGCAGGTGTTGTAAGGGACCAGTGCATGTGTACTGGGTAACGGCCAGAGGCTTTGGTAGTTCAGTCTCAGTTTGGTAAATGCCTCAAGAGATACAGAATTTGTTGCTTTTTCCTTATTTCATATGCAAGTACAACTCGGAGTGGCTGCGGTTCAGCGGTTATGTTCATGGGGAGTGGGGATTGGTAAAGAACCCATGAGTGGGGCCTCCTAAGTGGGCGTATTGCTCTCCCCAAAAA